CTCAACTGGTTCAGATGTTGCACTTGTTGAGGTAGTTAACATGTAATCATTAAGACGAGTCGGCTCTTTTCTCTTTCTCTTAGAATATAAATGATTATTTTTACAAAAACATTAAAAATTATACAAAATGAATACTTAATTAAAATACAAAATAGATTACAAACCTCGTGCTTCATATGGAATATCAATTGTAATATTATTATCAACTGCAAATTTTTGTATAGATTGCCAAATCTCACTAAAAGATTCTGGAATACGTGAACTTTTGAAACTTGTTATAATACTATTAATTATCGTTACTGCTTTACCTAATGTGGCAGTTTTGTCGTGCATCATGTTAATCATAACGTTAATGATACTTAGTACTTGGCGTATGACAAACAAATGAACAATAAAAGAGGCTTTTTGTAAATTAATAAGTATTCCTGTTGAAATAAAAGGTGTATGTAACGATTTTTAAATACATTAAAAATTATTAAAAAATGTGTATTACAACAATTAATACATATTACCTAAAGCTTCATTTACATCTTTGTCATTGTCATCATCAATTTCTTCTTGTAAGACATGAATAATTGCTTGGTAACAGTCTAAGACAGCAACACAATTTTTATATCTACAATTCCACCTTATATCACTTATTCTTCCAATCGTTTTAATTTTCAGTCCTAATTTTTTTGCATAACAATGAGTTGTTGATTTTTTGTAGGATAGGAAAAATGATTATAAATACTTTCTAAAGTATTAAAGATACATCTAGTTTCATTAAATAAAATATGTTAAACATGAATTAAAATTTAAACATTGGTACATCATTTTTTTAAACTTACTTTTACAAATTTATACATGTCAACAACAACGAGATTAATACGGTGTGCCATACAATGAGTATAAATTGCACATGGATATTTGTTTTGAATTTTTGCTTGAACACCATTAAATTTCCCAGCCATAACACTTGCTCCATCATACGATTGACCATTAATTTGTGCTTTGTTACTTAAATTATAAGCTTTGAAATGATCAAAAGTATGTTGACTCAGGGCTTTGGCATCTTGCTTAACTAAACAATCTACAAATCCTAAAAATCTTTCATGGACATTTAAATCTTTGGTGTATCTAACACATAAAGCCATTTGTTCTTCCTTGTAACAACTAAAAATATATTCAATATACACATTTTCAAAACAATTATTATTTATCAATATCATAATTTTAAGTTTTTAATTAATAATAGGTTTATAGGTACTAACCGTAATCACACATTACACCAAACACACCATCTCCTATTTCATGTATAATTGTGTCTCTAATACTATTAGCACTAAAACTAATAAATTGCTCTTGTATTGAATGACTATTATGATTAATAGTTTTTTTAAGTTTTCTGCAAATTCAGGTACATGTTTGGAAAACAAAATATAAGTTTCAATGAAATTCTCTAAAACAAACATTTTTGCACATAACTTTTATTCAGGAATAAATAATTTTGTACAGATTTATAATATTATATGTAAACAATTTAAATTTGTACCTATAAGGAAAAATATCAAACCTCAAATTATATTATTTTAAGATAAATATTATAGACATAGATACCTTGATTTAAAGATGTCTTTTTTTCATCATGACCTCTATATGCTAGTCCTTGAAAAGCTATATTTATAACTATGTCTATTAACATTTTAACATATTTCCTATTAGACTCAACCACCAGTTTATGATTTTATATCAATTGTGAATGAACACTAATATGTATGTTTTTAGACTTATGTTCAGCCCATCTAACCATAAATGTTAAATGAACTTCAGTCCCATTATGTGCTTCAAGCTTCGTTAATTTTTTGTCTTTTGCACCTCTAGATCCACTCAACTAATAAATTAATGAGATTTATTATAACAATCATGATAATATGGCTAAACAGTAATATTTTATAAAATGGGTACTTTTTTCCAATTTTTAAATCCTATTGATGTGAATGAAGGTTCTAATGAACCTATTTCAAAAAATGTGGCATGCGTAACAGAATATTGAGCCTTTAGAAATACTGGATTCGATCCATTCATATTTTGTATAATATGATTCATTGAAACTCTGGTTCTGCGCTCCAAACTTGGTAAAAGGAAACTATTTTTGAAATTTTTAAAAATTAGGTATTTATTTCATTTTTCTGTACTTATGCCTATTTTATTTTATTTATTAAATATTATATAGCAAGCAGAGTAAATTGTAAATTATTATTTATTCAAATACAAAATTAGGTAATTAGATAAGAATCAAAAATAAACACTATTTTTTTAATTTTAATTACCTTAACTCTGGGCTGAACAGGGCCTGAATTTAGGTCTCCTAAATCGGCCAAGTTATTGATATTGACCACATCAATGAAGCCAGAGGCAGATGTTTCTACATCGACTGTGACTACACTACTTACCTGACCCAAATCTTGTTGTGTTTCATTTACATTAATACATATTGTATTATTAACCCTTTTATTTTTTTTATTAAAAATGCTAAACATGTTGAATAAAAGAAAATTGACATTATTCAACAGTTAAATAAATGAAGGGTCGGCAGGAATAACGTGCTATGTAACACTTTTTCCCATTTCATTTTTTTGCGGAATAACGTGCTATGAGTCTATCTCAATATATTTATAGAATTAGATATTTGATTATGTTTAAAGTTGGAAGAACATGCTAGGTGCAGTCCAAATAATATTTAAACGAAATAAAATAAGTAATTTTGTTTTTACTTGATACTGAACAATTTACAAATTGTTACATAGCACGTTATTCCCGCCGACCCTTCAAATAAACAAAACAGTGTTATTGACGTTTGTAAATTAATCAGTATTCATGTGTAATACTGTAATAGGTATAACGTATGAACTTTACAAACAAAACATAATCAACTAATGCGCGCATTCATAACACAATTACCGGGAAATTAACAGTTTTGGTTTTTCCCAATCATTAATATTTATTTTTGTACAAAATAAGAAAACTGAATGTTCCAACGAACGGTTGTCTTTATCAGTAACAATAAATTAATGGGATATTGGAAATCAACAGTGCCATGTATCAACGTATAATAATAATGAGTTCTGAACTATATAATATGTATTATTTATATATTATAATATACAGAATGATCTCACTGATGTCTTACATAATATTTCTACATTTAAAATTATACAATATATATGTACATTATATATTGTATATTATAATANAATACTCAAACATTTTATTAAATTAAAAATATGTGTTACCATTTAAAAAAACAAAGTTGACCCCCTTCCAAAGCATAAGGGATGAACTTAAAAAGTATTACATAGTTAATAATTCAAGAATAATGTGTAACTAAAGATAGTAATAAAAAAAAATTTTTTAAATTATTATTATGTAAGTAATTGAGTGGGTTATGATAAAAAAATCACCCTGTACAGTGTTTTTAAAATTTGCCAAAATTTTTGGGGGGCTTATCCCTCAAGCCCCCCCCCGGATATCCGCCAATGACCATGCTTCCTTCCATCGATCCACTACACCACAACTGGCATCATCCATAATCTTCCAACTGGAATTATGTGATTTCAGTCTCATACTTGGTAAATTTATAATGTCCTCATAAATCGGCAGACCAGGAGACTTTAAGTATTTTTACCACTCTCTTCTTAATGCCTCTTCTCGTCTAAGGAATGGAGGCCTTACATTAGCCATTACAGGAAGCCACAGGAAGGGAGTTATTTTCAATGTTCTTGATATGGTTCTCATTATTTAGTTAGACATCAATTTTCGATATATGCTTACTGTTGATCCAAACTGGCGCGCAGTATTCCGCTACAGCAAACACCTATCCCTGTTTAATCATATTCAACCAAATGTCAAGTAAATACAACTATAATAGATTTTCGAAATTAAACTGCATGATTTTATCGTAGAGCTAGGTTCAGAATTAACTTTGCTTATATACTAGTACCATAGTTGTAAAAAATACTTCTAAAAAGTATTTTAAATAATATTCAAATATTTAAAAAAAAATGTATTTAAAATACTATTTGAATACTTTTCATACAAAAGTATTTGAGTAATACTCAATTACTTTACAAAAATATTTCAAATACTAAGAATACAATTAAAAAATAATAATAATGTTTTTATTTTAACTAAGAGCAAAAGGTTCCACCTAAATAATTACCAAGAGGGTAATTTGAGTCAAATATTGAGTACTCTTAAATTAAGAGAACTCATTTATTATTTTCGATATTTTTTGTTAGAGGTAAATAAAATTAATTATTGGAGACTAATCAGTGAAAAAAATAAATATTAGTACACGTGTAAAAACCTGTAAAGTATGTCTTATTGACAATAGAGTAAATCATTTGAACCTGCAATAGGCTATTGTAGGNAAAGTATGTCTTATTGACAATAGAGTAAATCATTTGAACCTGCAATAGGCTATTGTAGGTTCAACTGATGTATTAAAAATAGATGTATACATAATAGCATTTAGATAAGCACAATAATTATGTTATACTATAATGTAACATATAAAATAACAGAGAATTATTCTCAATTTTCATTTTGACTGAGTTTAATTTGCTTGCTGTGTTACGGTTAGCAAATTAAAAAAAAAAAAGTTCGATAGTATCGATTCGCTGGTGACCGTCGAAATGGAAAACATGTTTCGTGATATTAGTGCTGCTGCGTCATTAATTCAAAACGTGAACAACCCGCAACCCGTTGTTACTGCGCCCAACCATTCTCATACGTTATAAATACGTTACTGTATGCGAATATGAACTTAAAATTTGATGGTAGTAT